TTGTTATAGGAGGTAAAATTTTCTATTATATATATATATTTTAATACACTTTTACGGCTATTGAAATTAAATAGTTTCGACCGTAAGCTAAAAGTGATTTTTGCCCTTTTTAATTTTGTTGAGCGTTTCAGTTTAATAATATTTTTTATTATTATTTTAAGCAAATTTGTTGGATTGTCGTGATTTTTCTCCTTTTGATAATTTAAGAATTAAAAAAATAAAGAAATTAAAATAAGGGAGGTGAATGTAATATTGCAAATTAGTATTACGAAGTTAAACTTAGAGGAAAGTTTTTAAAATATGTTTTCTTAAATCAGAAAGAATAGAATAAAGCGAATCCAATAAAAAGTTAAGTGGCGATTGTTCCCCAAGAAATTTCAGTTGTTGACGTGTTGCAATTTGAATCACAACAATCAAATTCCAGTCTAATTATTATAGTCAAAGAAAGAACTAGAGTTCTGAATAATTAGTAGTGAGCCTAAACAGGTCTTGTGAGTAATAAAAATTATCTTTGATTAGACAAAGCCTGAGTACTAACTTGTTTGGCCAAACTGGAAAAATCAGGCTACTTTGAAAAATACTTTTAGAGAAAAATAATTTATGTCTGGCTAATCACTCTGGCTAATCTTTTCAAAAAGTATTTTTAAGTATCAAATTACGAATAAGGACATGAATAGATTTACTTAATAGTTAATATTATAAGTAAATAAATGATTTAAAAATTTTATTATAAAAATAATAATTAAATCTTTTTACTTTATTTAAGTAAAATATGAAAATAAAAATAAAAAATACTTTAATTCTTTTAAGATGATTTAAATATATTAAAAACTATTCGACAAATATAAAAGCCTTCACCCCTAAAGTTACCATATATTAGAAAGCTATCATAAAAATAAGAAGAAATACTTATATATTAATATCCTAAGTATTAGGTTTAAAATAAGTAAGGTTATATATTTTGGTATATATTATATTTTGTTAAGGGTATTTTTTATAAGAAGAAAAGTCAAAACTGCTTATGTTTCTGCTTTGGGAAGAAACTATTTTTTTCTACTTCTCAAAAACTACTTTTGCTTCTTTTCAAAAGCACCCCCTAAAAAAAATGGCCAAACACCTTAAATTGAAGGGAAAAAAAAATACTTCTCAGAAAAAAAGCACCCTTGACCTTTGAAAAAACTTGGTCAAACAGATTATACGTGTCCAAATACGACCGTCCGTAGGTGATATAATAAGATGATGTCTAAATGAAATTAGCATCCATGTAATCATAGATATTTATAGGGGGAAAAGAAAAGGACCAAATTGTGGAATAAGAAATGAGGTGAAATCAAATAATAAAAGCGTGGTTTTGATGCAAATGTGGGATCGAATAATAAAGACTATAGAGAATATAAGACTGGTCAAATTTTATGATAGCTCGAGACGAATATACCTAGGCAGGTTCCTAATCAACTCCATTCGAAGTAGCTAATTCCCAGAATCTCGGAGTCCTTGGTCCAAATTCTTTTTCAAAATTATTAATTATAAAAGAATTCAAAATAAAAATATAATACTAATAGCTCGCTGCTAAAAATGAGGATTCAACATGAATTAAAATTTCGTACGCTTGCTGCTAACAACAAATCTATCACAAGTCCACAACTCTTCGGATTTGAGACCGACAAAGTGAGCAAACTCCTAAACGGAGTTCAATACTTACTTCAAACAATTTAAGATTAAAAGTAATGTTACATCAATAAAGATTCGCAGGCATATCGTTTAGCCCAAAAAGGCAAATGGGATTAAAAAAACAAAATATCTCCTCCATAGAAACGGCATTATGTGCACAGGCAAATGGGATCAGACTCATTTTGATAATTGATAATGTCCTTCATCTAACACTGTGGATTTGGATAACTATACTGGAATATTGTTGTAGACGCGAATTCCACATATTTTTGTTGTTTACATTATAATGAATGACGGTAAGGAAAAAAAAAAAAAAAGATTAAACAATTTGAACGGAATATTGGAATATTGCTGTTATGGTAATGTACACCCTTAACTGCACTCCAAACACTTTAACTCTCATGAATGTTACAACTAAGGGTGGCAAGTGGGCCGTTCCCGGACCTAAACGGGCTAAGTGAGCCGGTCCAAACGGTTCCGGTTCCGGGCCGGTCTCAAATTAAACGGACCAAACGATTCCGGGCTAAACGGTCTTTTTGTAGCGATCGGACCGGGACCGTTTGGTCCCGGGCTAAACGGTCCCGGCCCGCGGACTAAATGGGCTAAATGGGTTCAACAGATTTAAAAAAAAATTAAATAGAAATTAGAGACAAAAGGATGTTAAAAATAATATCTAAGGCAATGCCTTGTAAAATTTATTATAGAATTGTGACCTAAATTTTTTAATATTTTTTAATTCAAATTTAAAGTCTAAAGACAAAAATATTGTAAAGAGATATTCAAAGCAATGCCTTGTAATTTTATTATAGCATTAAAAAATATGATAATATCCTTCTTAGTCTTCACCCCCCTATGGAATGAGTACAACAAGATGCTAATACCACTATTGAGAAGAAAAAGAAACTAATCAGGATGTACCAAAATACAAATTACATAAAATATACTAATTTTTGTTCATACAAGTTACATAGTATCTCTTACAAACTTCATAAATCTATCAAGGTCCGGAGGAATTTCCGTTGGTGGTGGTGGAAATATAGCTTGGTCATCGCCACTTTCGGGCGAAGCAACATCCTCCGCAAGTTCAGCTGGCATTTCTTCGTAAGTTTCGTCTTCATCTGGTTGTGATTCAGCAAGTCCAAAATTTCTTCTTTCCAACCGGATCCAATCTCTAAAAGGTACTAAATTTTTCAAGCTCTCCCTCATAGACTCTCTATAATCACCGAGTTGAAGTCTTGCTTGACTGAAAGCGCTCTCTGATGCTACTGTTAAAGCTTGAATAGTAAAAATATCTCGGGCCATCCTTGAAAGAACCGGAAAGTATTTTTCTTTGTCCTTCCACCATTTCAAAAGATTAAAGGAGCCGTCGGGATTCACTTTCTCAATTTCCTGCTACAAATAATCTTCAAGCTCATTTAGTTGTGAAAAATCACTACTACTAGAACCTTGAGAACCCCTAAACTCCGCCCAAGCACTAAGTGCTCTTACTCCCACAATTCTTTTAGATGATCGAGAATCAGAAGAAGAAGGAGTTTGAACATTTAGTCTAACATGATTTAATGCAACTTGATAAACATTAAAAATAGTTTGAGCATTTATTCTAATTGAGGCTATTGCTTCTGGAAGTAAATTGTAATAAACTATTATCGCTATCAAGAATAGCAGGTGTAGGACGGATATGGAGTTTGGTTCGGGGAGCCCAGGGCAGTGGAGGAAGAATAGATTGAGCACTAGATTCGTCACTCTTGGATTTTCCCTTATTTTTATAAATTTTTTTTTTAAGGAAGTCATCTTAATTAATAAAGTAATAAAAAATATATAAAACAAACAAAACTATAATATTAAAACTTAAGAGTTGGAACGAGTTTACCGAATTGACGAACAACTTGTTGAAAATTGATTATCGTTGAATATTTCAATTCACCAACTTCACAATTGTTTCACAAATTGTAACAATAAATTAAGCAATAGTAGCAATTATAGAAGAAAATTAGAGAGAGATTGTGATAGATTGATGATTTTGTAAGAAAAATGAAAGAATGAGGGGGCATTTATAGTTGAAAATAAGGAAAAATTATAATTATAAAAAGTTTGGGGTTAAAACAAAGTTGGGGGATTAAATGACTATTTTATAAATAGCCAACGACTATTTTTTACAGCCCAACGGCTATATTTTAAATTTTAATTTTTTTTTTTAAAATAAGTTGACCGTTGGGACCGTTTGGCCCGCTAAGGGACCGGTCCGGTCCCTAGCGGGCCCAAAGCATAGGACCGGCCCACGAGACCGGCTCAGGCCCACTAAAACCGGTCCTGAAGGTCCTGGCCCGCGGTCCCGGGCCTGGACCAGCCCACTTGCCAGCCTTAGTTACAACTAACTACTCCCTCCGTTAACTTTTAGTTGCCAATTATTTTAAAAATAAATTCTCATTTTTACTTGTCACTTTTCGTATATCAAGAGAAAAATAATCTATTTTTTATGTTTTGCCCTTAGCATTAATTACTCATTCCAAATTATTTTTCAAATCCATTAAGACTATACACCAATTAATATGATATCGTGGTAAATTATGCACTTTATTTATTATTTTTTAAGGGTTGTTTAAAGTCAATAGTGAACAAGTAAAAGTGAGCAGAGGAAGTACTTATATTTTTTCTCAATAAAATTAACTACTCTCTCCGTTCAAATTTACGTGACAACTTCCGTTTTTCGAGAATTAACTTGACCAGCCTATTTAGACATAATAGGCAAAAGTTCATGTTTTTGAATATATCTTCTATTCTCTCCGGTTAACTTTAATTGATTTTTTGGTTATTTTCACACATATTAAGAAATTCACCTTTTAGCATTAATTAATAATAAAATTGACCATATTAACCTTAATTTGTTCATTAAAAATATAATAGATACTTCAAGACTCTTTACTCCAACGTCAACTTTGAAAAGAAATTAATTCATTTTTAATATCTGAAAAAATCAAATATTATAGACCACAAAAAAGGCCAAAAAATCAATTTAAATGGATCGGATGGAGTACATAATTTAGGAGCATTGGTCACAAAATTAAGATGAGTTCATTTTTTAATAAATTTTCCATTAATTCTTTCTATGAGTTTAGAGTGACGTTTTTTCGGAAGATTTTTAGTTTTTTATGTTTGTCATTTTATAAACTAATATGTAACGTGAAGTATAAAAGTTAGCGAATAAATATTAAAGAAATGTTATTTATTTAGGTTCTTATTTAACGTGTATGTCAATTACATAAAAATATAAGCCAATGAACATAACATACATCACGCGTTTATTGATTGGTGCACCACCCAGGCCATAGTAAAAAACCAGCTTTGACTTACAATTACATGTAAAAATTGAATCAGATTCCATCACATCGTGCTTCTTGAATCTACATATCTAAAGAAGTCTAATCATACTCCATCTTTAATCATATTCCATTTTTGAGATATAGTTTCCCCAAGACCCATACAATTTAAAGCTATATATATCCTGGACCATGCCTCTTTTTGTAGAGTTTTCTATACTTGTTGTTTCAAAGCTTGACTTGACACTTGATAGATAGTACCATTTCAGCATCAAGTAGCCCCACAATGGGATCAAGATTACTGAATTAAGCTGAGGGGTTTTGACACGTTAAGAGAAGCCTCCTCTTTCATTAGCGCTTAAGCTTCCATCGTTTGAGTTGGAACTGGTGGCAGCAAAATAGTTTTAAAAAAAATAGTTATTCAAAGATATTGTTTACTAAAAAATGAGTTGAATGACAAGCCTTTTAAAAACGGATCTAATATAAATAAGAATCATATTATCCACTTAAAAAATGGATAATCAATGGATTTAACCTTTTATATTTGTAAAGCCTCAAATTGAAGGTTTTTTAAGTTTAGGAGATTAGTGATTCTCTCATATATATATTATTCAAAAAGCCATGAATAATATGGATATTGTTTGGAATAAACCCCCTACATAAATAATATTCACAGTAATAAAAGCGGAATAATAATGTAGCACCGAGATACGGTAATTAACAAGAATAAAAGAGTGACAACGATACCAAGATTTTTACGTGGAAAAGCCTTTTGAATAAGGGAAAAACTACGGCCCCGAGACGAACAACTGATATCATTATAGCAAGAAAATTTACACTTTGTAGGTCCGAATAAAATACTCCAAAGACCACTACAACACTCAAAAGAAATAACCCTTTTTTGATATTCCCACCTCACTACAATATCGCTCACTCACTCTCTATTTTTCTCACAGATTATTTTCTTATACCTTGTCTGTGAAACCTCACTCTTTCTTTCTCTCTTTGTTGGTGTGTAGAGATGAGAACCGAAACTCTCCTTTTATAGGCAGAACCTCACTCTCTCACGCCTACTATATTTGACATTTTTCTCTCTACAGATTTGCAAATCACATAAGTGCCTACTATATTTGACACTTTTCCTTCCATTTCTTCTTCATTATGGGGATTGACCCCACAATGTACCTTTTTTTTTGATTCATTTATGGGGATGAACCCCACAAATCTCCCCCTCCAGACCCATTCACCTGAAGGAGGTAACACCAAACTTCTAGCTTGAGTGCATGCCGACAAGTTCTTTGCACAATTTGAACTTGTCACTTGGTACCACCTTGGTTAGCATATCTGCGGGATTCTCACTTGTAGAAATCTTCAAGACTTTTAGAGATTCATTCTCTACCATTTCTCGAATCCAGTGATATCTCACATTGATATGTTTGGTCTTTGCATGGTACATGGAGTTCTTGCTAATGTCTACTGCACTTTGACTGTCACAATAGACAACATACTCATTCTGATGCAATCCAAGCTCTTGAAGGAACCGTTTCAACCATATCATCTCCTTGCCAGCTTCAGTATCGGCAATATACTCCGCTTCAATTGTAGAGAGTGCGACATACTTCTGCAACCTCGACTGCCGTGATATAGCTCCCCCTGAAAATGTAAACAAATATCCAATAGTGGATTTTCTGTTATCAATGTCACCTGCCATATCAGCATATGTATAGCCTTTCAAAATTGGATCAGATCCTCCAAAACACAAGCAATCTCCTATAGTACCTCTTAGGTACCCGAGTATCTACTTGACTACTTCCCAATGTTCCTTTTCAGGATTTTCAAGGAATCTGCTAACAACACCAACTGCATGAGCAGTATCAGGTCTGGTACATACCATTGCATACATCAAGCTTCCGACTGCTGAAGAATAAGGAACTCTAGCTATGTTCCCTTTCTCCTCCACTGTTGTATGACATATCTTCTTGCTCAACTTTAGATGACTAGCAAGAGGTGTGTCGACTGGCTTAGCATTCTTCATGTTGAAGCGTTCCAGTACACGTTCAATGTATTTCTCCTGAGACAGCCACAACTTTCTGCCTGTTCGCTCTCGAACTATCTTCATTCCCAGAATTTGTTGTGCTGGACCCAAGTCATTCATATCAAATGACTTGGACAAATCTCCCTTCAACTTTGGGATCATCCCCTTGTCTTTTCCTACAATTAACATGTCATCCACATACAACAACAATATAATAAAGTTATTCTCAGAAAATCTTTTGAAGTATACACATGGATCAGAATATGTCTTTGTGTAACTTTGACTTTTCATGAATGTGTCAAACTTCTTGTACCACTACCTTGGTGCCTGCTTCAACCTATAAAGACTCTTATTCAGTTTGCACACCATGTGTTTCCTTTCAGCTACTTCAAATCCTTCTGGATTCCATATAGATCTCCTCTTCCAAATCTTAGTGAATAAATATAGTTTTCACGTCCAACTGCTCCACTTCAAGATCTAGGCTAGCTGCTAAGCACAAAATTGTTCGAATAGAAGTCATTTTGACAACAAGTGAGAAAATTTTGTCAAAATCAATACCTTTCTTCTGGTCGAAGCCTTTTACCACCAATCGAGCTTTGTATCTGACCAGCTTGCCATTTCCATCTTTCTTGCGTTTAAAGACCCATTTGCATTTGAGTGGTCTTTTACCCTTTGAAAGTTCAACCAGCTTGTACGTGCCATTTTTCTGTAGAAATTCCATTTCTTCTTGCATGGCTTTCATCCAATGGTTCTTCTCTGGATGGGACATCACCTCCTTAATACTTTCTGGATCCCCTTCATCACTGATAAGGACATACTCTGTGGAAAGATATCTGCATGACTCTACCCTTGGCCTCTCTGATCTCCTCAGAGGTTGAGGTTGTTCTTCTCCCTGAGTGAGGTACTCCACTTGCTCGACATCATCATCAAGTTGCTCCCCCTGCTTAATAACCTCACCAGGTTGCTCCCCCTGCTTGGTAACCTCGTCGGTCGTACTTTCTGCACTTGTGGGATAGTCAGAAGAAGAAGGAACGGCAATAAGGTTAGAAATTATACAATTCTTGGCATTTTCTGACATATCATCAGCAGTTCCAACTTTACATTCTCGAAAAACTACATCTCTGCTTCTAATGACCTTCTTCTTTACACGATCCCACAATCTGTACCCGAACTCTTCATCTCCGTATCCGATGAATATACAGGGAACAAATTTATCATCCAGCTTTGTTCTCTGCTCCTTTGGTACATATGCAAAAGCTCTGCAACCGAACACCTTCAGATTCGAGTATGACACCTCCTTGTTGGTCCAAACTCTCTTTGGGATGTCAAACGCCAACGAAACTGATGGACTCCTATTGATCATGTAACAGGATGTCTGAACTGCTTCACCCTAGAATGACTTAGGTAGTTTAGCCATTATGATCATGCTTCTCACCTTCTCCACAATGGTGCAATTCATCATATCGGCTACGCCATTGTGCTATGGGATTTCAGGAACTGTCTTTTCATGTCTGATCCCATGGCTCAAACAATACTCTTCAAATTCCCTTGAAGTGTACTCACCTCCATTGTCACTTCGAAAATGCTTTAGCTTTTGGCCTGTCTCCCTTTCCACCATAGCATGAAACTTCTAGAAAACTTGAAATACATGATCTTTGATTTTCAAAATATAAACCCACAATTTTCGTGAAGCATCATCAATAAAAGTAATAAAATATTTGTTACCGCCCATCGAAAATATCAGAATATACCAAATCAAGTATATTTAATTTTCTTTCAGACGATGTCTGAAATGAGACTCTATGTTGCTTATCAAATAAGTAATAGTCATAAGGTTTTACCGTTGTACCTTTAGCATAAGAAATGGGTGATTTCCTGGCAAGAATCTGCAATCCCTTCTCGCTCATATGACCCATTATTTTGTGCCACAAATCTGCAGAAATCTCATCTTGTGCCGTGTTCAATTCACCTTGGCATATTTCTGCATTTGTTCTGTACAACGTGCCACGAGCAACTCCCTTTGCAATCACCAATGATCCCTTGGTGAGTCTCCACTTTTAATTTGCAAAATAGTTCTCGTATCCATCTCGGTCTAAAGCAATTTTCGAGATCAAGTTCATCCGCAAATCATGTACATGTCGCACGTCCTTTAGAACCAATGTGCATCCGACATTTGTCTTGATACAAATGTTACCAATCCCCGCAATCTTTGAGCAACTTGTGTTATCCATTCTCATAGTACCGAAATCACCTACTATATATCTGCAAAAAAGATCTCTTACCGATGTGGCATTGTAAGATGCTACTGTATCAACCACCCATTCCGACTCTAGACCTGATAAGTGCATGCATTCCTCTTCCTCGTTTATAAAGAGGAAAACATTATCATTATTTTACACTATGGCGGTTGTGTTGTCGTCATTCTTCTGGCCACTAGTTTCACCTTTGCTCTTCCTTGAATTTGGGCAATCTCTTTTGAAGTGGCCTGGTTGATCACAATTATAGCAATTTCTAGCTCTTGATTTGGATCGGTTCTTAGACTTCTCACGAGCTCCGGATCTACCATAGTTGCTCGAACTCCTTTGATAAATCTTGCCTCTACCTTCTGTGATGGGAGCTTGTCCTTGATTTTCAGGCTTTTTTCTCATCTTCTCATTGAGTAGATGAGCGGATGTGACGTCTTTCAACTCAATGGTAGTCTTACCGTGCATGATGGTTGTTGCCAAATTATCGTACGAAGATGGCAACGAGTTCAATATCAAGATGGCTTTATCTTCTTCCTCGATTTTCACTCCGAGGTTGGCAAGTTGTGTGATTAGTCCGTTAAACATATTTAAATATGACAAAAAATTCGTACCTTCACCCATGTGTAGGGCGTATAATTGCTTCTTCAGGTACAATTTATTTGTCAATGTTTTGAACATGTATAAGCTTTCCAACTTTGTGCAAATTCCACGTGTGGTGTCTTCATCAATGATGTTATTTACCACATCATCTGATAAGTGCAACGTGATTATACTACCAGTCCTTTCATCCAAGTCAGCCCAATCCTCAGCTTTCATGGTATCAGGCTTTTTGGCATCAACATCTAGTACTTTGTGTAATCTTTGTTGGATGAGCAGATCTCTCATCCTTCTTTGCCATGTTGAGAAACCATTATCTCCGTTAAATTTTGCTACCTCATACTTTACTCCGGACATTTGAGTTTTTCACCGAGTATAGTACTACCGATAGAGAATAGTATTTTTGTGAACGAGCAAAACATGTGCTCTGATACCAGTTGTTGGGAATAAAGCTCCTACAAAAATAATATTCACAGTAATAAAAGCAGAATAATAACGTAGCACCGAGATACGGTAATTAACAAGAATAAAAGAGTGACAACGACACCAGGATGTTTATGACCTTTTGAATAAGGAAAAAACCACGGTCTCGAAACGAGCAACAGATATCACTATAGCAAGGAATTTTACACTTTGTAGGTTCGAGTAAAATACTCCAAAGACCACTACAACACTCAAAAGAAATAACCCTCTTTTGATATTCCCACCTCACTACAATATCGTTCACTCTGTATTTTTCTCACAGACTATTTTTTTATACCTTGTCTGTGAAACCTCACTCTTTCTTTCTCTCTTTGTTGGTATGTAGAGATGAAAGTCGATGCTCACTTTTCCTTCCTTTTCTTCTTCATTATAGGGATGGACCCCATAATCTCCCTTTTTTCTTTGAATCATTTATGGAGATGGACCCCACAAATATCCATATTATATGCCGGTTAACCCGTTTTTTATTCGTATTAAATATGTCGGGTCAGATAATTTATCCGTTTTTACATTATCTGTTTTCGACCCGTCCATATCCGACCCAATCCGTCTATTTGCCATCCCTAGTTGAAACCCTAAGAAAGGATTGACGGACTCTCGCTTTACTTAACCCGTAAATGACTCGGATATTCAATGGTCACACACTGTTTCATTTACATGTTGATCTTGCTTCACTTGTTGATCACTACTACTTTTTGGGAGAAAAAGAAAAAGATAGATAAAGAAAATAGATATTGGGCCAAACTCAAGAGGGAGGATTGTCTAAGGGCTTTTTTCAGTTTTAGCCCGCATCATAAATTATCCATATTTGATAGTCGAAAAGTGTATAAAATTTATATAATTTTTATATATAACGTACATAATATATATATATATATATATATATATATATATATATATATATATT